CCCAAAACCCCAAAACCCCAAAACCCCAAAACCCCAAAACCCCAAAACCCCAAAACCCCTTTTTCTATAAATGTTATTGAGAAGACTTCAAATAAATCTATTGGCTCGACCTATATTCCCGACATCAAATTTAAGATTTATCAGATATTTTTAGTTATAAATTATTAAAAAGGCCAATTATGGAAGACAAGGAAGACACGCCTGAAGAGATTTCCTGCCTCTCGGTCAAGGTATGACTTCCTACAGTGCAATTCATCTTACCTCTCTGTATAGGAAATAAAGAATTTAGCTAGACCTGAGTTTAGAGCTAACCCTGAGAAGTTTTACCCAACTGAAACTCTGAGCAAATTAGGATTCTCCAGAAACGAGTGTCCGAAGTGTAACAACTTCTACTGGAGAGCCTCTGAAGAAAGAGATACTTGTGGAGACTCAAAGTAAGCTTCTTGTTAATCTACCATACTATTGGCCGTGATTAATCATATACAATATAGCTGTGTTGGAAAGTACACTTTCATCAACAATGGATTCTTGGAAGAAGGAAAGGAGATGACTTATGCAGACGCCTGGAAGGGTAAGTATTATGATGTCTCAGTATAAAGGCTTTGAAAGAAGCTTAACCAATGCCAAAGTACCTTGCAAATCAATTCCCAGATATCCTATTGTCGCTCGTTGGAGAAATGACGTTGATTTCACAGCTGCTGGAATCTACTGCTTCCAGCCATATTGCGTTACAGGAGAGTTAGACCCACCAGCTAACCCTCTGATCCAGCCTCAATTCTGTGCTCGGTTTAATGATTTGGATAACATTGGTTTAACTGGAAGACATTACTCCGGATTCACGATGCTTGGTATCCAAGTGTTTAACTATCCCAATGATTACAAATTCTTCAAGGATGAATGCATTGAGTTTAACTACAATTGGCTTACTGAAGAGCTAAAGATTCCAAAAGAAGAAATCACTTTTGTTGAAGACGTCTGGGCTGGGGGTGGCAACCTTGGACCATCTATTGAATACTTCGTCAGAGGACTTGAGATTGGAAATATGGTCTTCATGCAGTACAAGACCTTCCCTGATGGAAGTAGAGAAGAGCTCAAGATCAAAGTCATTGATACTGGAATTGGTCTTGAAAGAATCCCATGGCTCATGAATGGTAATGCAACATCATACATGATTGTCTTCAAAAATGCATTTGAATGGCTCTCAGAAAGACTCCAAGTCGCACCAGATATGGATGTTTGGGAGAAATTCGGTCCATACTCCTCACAGCTTGATGTTGATGAAGCTGAAGATATTGACAAGACCTGGCAGCAGATTGCAGATGTTGTCGGAAAAGACTTAGAAGAAGTTAGAGAGTCGATTGCCCCAGTCAAGGATATGTATATTGTTCTCGATCATACCAGAACAGTAATGATCACGATCATTGACGGTAGCTTGCCATCTAATGTCGGTGGAGGAGGTAACGTAAGAAACATCCTCAGAAGAGTGTTCGCTGTTCTCCAGAAGAACGGCTGGTGGGAGAAAATCGGTGAGATGAAAGGCCTCCTCGAGCTTTTTGAGTACCACAAGAAAGATCTGGAAGGTATTTTTGGAGAATTCAAAGAATACAAGAGCTTTGATGAAATTATTGAGGTTGAATATGATAGATGGAGCAATACTGATGAAGCTATGCAAGCAAACTTGAAGAAACTTTTGAAGAAAAAGAAGAACCAATTGACTCTTGATGATTGGGATTTGTGCATGAGTTCTTACGGAATTCCAGCAGATACAATCTCTAAAATTAGTGGCTTAGAAATTCCCACCAATTTATATTACTTCATTGCTGATAAGAAAGAGAGATTGACAAAGGCTGCTCCAGTTATCCTCTATGATACTTCTCACCTAGAAGAGACTAAGAACCTCTATTACCAAAATCACCACTTGTATGAGTTTGAAGCAAACATCAACGATGTTTTCTTGAATGTTCAGGAGCAAAACCGCCAAAACATTGTCATACTCAGCCAGAGTGCTTTCTACCCAACTTCAGGAGGACAACTTCACGATACAGGAGAACTTTTCATTGGAGAAGATAAATATGAAGTCAAAAATATTGAGAAAGTTGGTAAATCAGTACTCCACTTCATCGAGCCAGATCTCCCAGGAGATAAGCAAGATTACATTGGAAAAGATGTGAAATGCGTAATCGACCATAAGAGACGTAACCAATTAAGATCTAATCACACTGGTACTCATATTGTATTTGCTTCATGCAGGAAGATCTTGGGTCCACATGTATGGCAAAATGGTGCTAAGAAGACCCTTGATATGGCTCATCTTGACATCACACATTATAAGTCTTTAACCAAAGAGCAGGAGCTTGCTATTGAAAATGAAGCTAACAGAATTATTTGTGCTAGTGCCAATATTAACAAGTATATGATGAGCAAGTCTGATGCAGAGAAAGAGTTTGGTTTCAATCTCTACCAAGGAGGTATTGTGCCAGGAAACGAGTTGAGAATCGTCAATATTGAAGGAGTTGATACTGAAGCATGCTGTGGAACCCATTGTGATAATACCTCAGAAGTAGGATGGATCAAGATGATTAATTCCAGAAGAATTTCAGATGGTATCGTCAGACTTTATTACATTGCTAATGAAAAAGCAATGGAAGTTATGAATAGAGAAACTATTCTCCTTCAAGACCTTTGCAAACTCTGGGGTATTGACCAGCCACAGATCTTCCCTACTGCTAAGAGATTCTTCGAAGATTACAAGAAGCTCAATGCTCAAACCAACAAGCAAGATGGACAAATTCTTGGGCTTCAGATGAAAGTAGTGTTGGATGGAGCTGCTGATAGACTAATGATTGATTCTGACCATAGTAACCCCAGAATCTACTTCTCAAACATTGGTCAGTATGCCTCTGAAGTCAAAGAGAAGGGAAAATCAGTCATCTTCATTGGTCCAACCTTTATCTTCGGTCTCTTCAGTAGCAAAGACGTGATTGACCTTAAGGAACTCGAAGAATTGCTTAAAGAGACTAATCCAGATGGGTACGAAATGAAGAAAACAGAAAAGATCAGCTTCAAAGTCAAAGGACAAAAGAAGCCAACTCAGACAAAAGATATCCTTCAAATCTCTATACCAGGGATCAAGTTTGACAAGGAAGTCTTACAGAAATACTTCACTGAGAAGGAGTTCTCCATTCTATAATGAATTATTTGTGGATGATTCTTATTCTTCAATCTCTATTTTAATAAAAGGGGTTTTGGGGTTTTGGGGTTTTGGGGTTTTGGGGTTTTGGGG